CCAAAACCTCCCATTAGGGAGCAGATTAGGTCTCAAATTGCACCCAAGCCTTTTTTTTGTGTGTGCTTCCATTTCAGGAAATGGGGATCAGCTCTTGAAAGACCAGCTGAATGGCAGAGGTGAGCACAAGCAGCAGCTGCAGACTTCAGCCTTGACCCAGCAATTGTGAGAAGGAAGCTTAAGGCTTGAAAGTCGAGGGAGGGAGGGATGTATAAATACAGTTCATGAAGAAGTCCAATGGTGATTGTACCTTCCCAAGGCTCAAGATGCCGGGTGGGACAGCTGACCAGGAATAATAGTGCAAGCAGCATAAATTAACATGATTATTTCCATTCAGACAAGTCCAATCTTAAGCAACAGAAAAGTGGGGCAAGACAAATTAACACTATTTGGCAGTCTGGCATTTGAGCAGACAAATCCTAAATTATGAAAGTGGTGACATTTGCTACATTTACAGTTTCTAGGAATAAAATAGAAAGGCCATTCCCCCCCCCCCCCCTTTTGGAGTAAATGGCACCATGGGTGGCCAACTTCCAGGGAGAGGGACGGATTTTTTTTTTTGAAAAAATGCTTTTCCCTTTAAGGAGAAACAGCAGCTTGGGAACTGGTAATGAATCTTTCAGGGATTCAAGAGACAAGAGGGATCATCCGTCTGCCTGCCAAAAGGAACTGCATTTTGGAAGTCTTGAAGAAAAATTCCATTCTTCGCATTTTAAAGATGTTTGACAGACACACTGCAATCTTTTCAAGGGACGACTGTGAGCGCTTCCAAAAGTCTTGTGAAAAAGGAGAAAAGTCACACTGCATGGACTGAAAAGAAATATGGTTTGCATTGACTCTCACTGAAATTCAGGGCTTCAGAAGTCCCCAGGCATGGATAGCAAGTGGCCAGCTTTTTAGGCAAACGTGCTACAAATCCAAAGGATGAAAGAACGGCACTCTAATATATAACAAGCGGTATTAACATGGGGGAGGAGGAGGGGTTGGCCAACGGCCAAGGTTTTCTCCAAACATCTGCCAAATGTCTTTGTCCAGCAATGACAGAAAATGCCTGTTGTTCGCTTATGGCACCCGATGCAGAAAGTCTTTTTTGTCAGTTGCATGTCAGGATGAGTGAAAGTTAATTCTTGAGTAGATTTTTTTAAAGAGAGAGAGAGAAAAGAAACCTTTCCATCGCTAACTTTTAGTGCAGGGAATTTCCTTTAGATCGGAAAGGCATAACTGCCTCTCTGCGCAGATGGAACACGGAAAGGCACTGGCTGTGAAGGGCAGTTTTTGAATGTGACAGCAGGGAAATGGGGGCTAAAATTATATAACTGTTAAGGATTGCAACAGTACAATTAAGATGAATCTAGTTTTGGTTTTGACCCACCCTCCCCAGCATGTTTGAATAAGTCCCTGCCTGAGGCACAATGGCCCTCCCTGGCCATGCACTGAAGGGGGAGGGCTGGTTTTAGTCTGGATTGCAGCTGATGAGAATCAGACTGTTTTTCTGACATTCCTCGCAGGAAGCAGGCCACAGCTGCCCCAAGATCAGGGTTTACACATTCAGGAAAGGAACACTGCAGAGGAATGAACAGGAAACTAGCAGCGGTGTTGACTTCGCTGCTTGTCAATGCCAGGGACAATTAGGAATCAATGAAATGCGACAGCCTTGCCTCTTTCTGCACTCTCAGGCCCTGTCCCCGGTTCCTTATTTTGGGGAGTTTGGAAGTTTTTTTGTTATTACTGCTTCAGATTAACCAGTTTGCCGTGTTACCCATCTTCTAACTATGGTTACATCTCTGCAAGGCCCAGATGAGACCCCCCCAAAAAACTCACTCTTTCCTTTGCCTGCTCTTTCAGGGAAAGACCAAGCGAGCTAAAACCACCACCCCAACTTTTAAAAGGGAGTAACTTCAAAGTGTATTTTGAACCATCCGCCCCGTAGGACGCCTAATCACACGTCTGCATTTATGCAACAGGGAAAATTGTGGTGAATTGAAGCAAGGTCTGCACAAAAATGAAAATCGGGTTAAGTCAGAGGGTTAGAGAGGAAGGGAACGTTGATTCCACAACAAGCCCCAAGTCACACCAAGCCACTACTACTGCTTCACCCTTTCAAATGCAAGCTGGCATCGTAAAATTTAAAATATACAGGCCAAAGGGGCCTTAAATGTTTGTTGGCTGGCATCCACTGAAAACTGAAACCTGCCCTTTGATTTAAAGTGTGATAGGTTTCCATTTTTTTTTTTAAAAAAAATAAGCACTTTCAAAATCTTGAGGCGATGGCAGTGCCACAATCTGTTTTTACATTACTGGATGATGCCACTCTTAGAATGCAACTCAGAATCTTAGGTATTTGGGCTCTCCACGGTGCCCCGCCTCCAGTCAAAATTTAGCTTTTTGAGCCATTGCCCTTGGGCGCTTTCTCTGAGAAAGGAAACCTGCTGCTTTTCTTCTGCTGTGTGTACCTGCACCCCATACACAGTAAGGATAAAGGGGGAGGTCTGGTCAACACGCAGGTTTTCAGTTTCTAAAGTGCAAAATACAAAAGAGGAGGTTTATCCTTGAGTGGGACACACAGGTGATTGTGGTCAGTCCTGAAGCAAGCCATTTTCCACTGCAAAGTTGCACTCTGTAGCCTGGCTAATAAAATGGGAGTAGACAAGAGCTTGGCTCAGACAGCACAAACCTCTCTCTAAATAAATTTCCCTGTAACACAATCACCTTAGCAGATCTACTGAGCAGCAGACTGCTGTAGCCAAGGGTTCTTATGCTTGGAGCTAAATCCAATTATTTTTATTTTGATAACTATACAAAACAATCAAATATACTTCAGGGAGATTAGGCACGCCATGTAATTTGCTACCCAGTACTTTTAAGCGTGCTCTTTCTTTGGAGGAGATCGCTTTAATGATCAGGTCCATGGCATTGCTTGGGCTTCATTTGTAGCCAAACAGCCTTCTTAAATCCCATTAGATCAACCACACTGCTTATTTAAGCTGCGAGGTGGGGTGGAGTTGCCATTTCAGCTGCCAGCCCATTCTTTTACAAGCATGCAATTGCACCCATCCTGAACAGAGCCTGACAAACCCACACTATTTAGTTTTTCAACTTCAGAAAGTATTCACCCACTTTCGTGGGGGATAGGTGGATCACGTGATCACTCTGGGGGACAATTAAGCTTTGGCCGATGGAGATTTATTCACCCTGTTGCACTTTATACTCTTTTCCCAGCCAGAATAATTAGCACAAGAATTTTCATGTCCAAACTGACACGCTGTGAAAGGGGGCCCCCTAAAGCCGAGAATGATTTAGGAGAGGGGGAGAAAAGACAGTCATCATCAAGTTGCCTTCAACTGACACTTCAGTTCTGGAACTTCCGATATTCATTCGTAATTCTCATTTTGTGACATCATCTTGGGTGATATTCCAGCCACAGAAAGAGGCTGGGTGAGCAAAGCCAAGAGGAACAGCAGACAGCCTGCCACCGATTCAAAGCATCTTCTGGATGCGTGGCCCAGATTAAGCTAATTGGCTTTAAGTGGCAAAGCAGGGTAAAACAATCCTATTCTGTGACTAATTCCACTGTGGGAACGGCTGCTATGCTGAACCTGACAATATTGAATGGTTGGAAAGTATCTGAAGATCCAGTATTAACCTCTGAAGGGGAGATACCTTTCTCTTAACTTCCTTTCCTCCTTAATAAGCAGACCCAATGAATTGGATTTGCAGATTTTTGTGGGGATCCACCAGGTAGAGAGCATCTGCTCATTCTTAGGTTTGATTCCTTGCATGAGATCCCTTTTTCCTGGACTGGCAAATCCGATTCCTAGATTTCATCTCATCCCATGGACAGAAAGCCACTCGGCCTCTTAGTTACATGCTGAAGATATAAGAGTGATATGGTCTCTCATGCTGAGGCAGATCTGTGCACAATCCATGGAGACAGTCCACAAGATGGAGATGGATTAAAGCCCCAGACCTGGTTTGTGGGTGGGTGTTACAATTGCTACCTCTGCACAAAATGGCTAACAATTGGTTTGTGTCTACCTGAGTCAAGACAAACTGAAGGTATTGTTAACAAATTATGCCCATTTTGAGAAGTATGAAGGCAGCCTTTGTATCTAAGCTATGTCTTTTCCAAATCACCCCCAGATTCACTGAAGACAAATTTCTTAAATATTAAAATACTTTTAAGGTTGGGTGAATGTTAAAATTAAATAGAATCTGGGTACCACTCCCACAATGAGTTACCTTAAGATTTTATCCCTCGGTGACTGCTAAAATGCAGATGTACTTCCTTATTGCTATAAATTGCTCCTAACTTTGCTCCTTCCTTTTCTCCCATTACAAAAAAAAAATCGCAAATTAAATCAAAACACCTAACCTATTCCAAGGTGAAGCACCATCGGGACAGGATATGTTAAGCATTTTGCGGGATTCAGATGGAATTATAATCATCTTTAATCTTACATTTGAATATGGGTAACCTATTCTGCTCACAGAACATTCCCAGAATTATATATCTAAAACAATAAAAACACACTGCCAGATCAGTGCAGCAGACACTATTAATATTCTGAGAAAGAAAATCAAAATGGCTACTTTTGGAGTGGATTAAGTCGCACACTATTGTCAAAAATCATGCCTTACAAACCATACTACTTGGATTCACACATTAGCTAAGCCACAGCAAGGAATTTTCAATTTACTGTCGGGTGTGTGTAGCCTTAAGTTTTTTGTTTCAGATGGAATCATGGCAACAAATCAAGAAAAAAAAATGAAGTGTCTTGCTGACATTATGACTACCATTAATCTAAACCAGGGGTAGGCAACCTTGGCTCTTTTATGACTCGTGGACGTCAACTCCCAGAATTCCTGAGCCAGCATAGTTGAAGTCCACAAGTCATAAAAGAGCTAAGGTTGCCTAAACTATATAGGAACTATTTGTACACAAGATGGGCCTGAGTTCTGCTATTTCATCCTCTTCAGTAAAATATATATTAGTAGCAGACCTGGTGACATCTTATTGACCAGCACACAGAACTGCTTTGTTACAAGGGCTTTGTACATAATCTGAAAACCAGCAACAGTGCAAATGTGAAATGAGAGGGCAAGGGCCAAGAGAACGTGGTAGGGTAGACACTGCACTGGAAAAGATCGATGAGATCCTACAATTCAGAACATCGAACCTTCCAAAGTACTTCTGAAAGGAAACCACGGAATGAGGGGATTTGGCAATATAGGAAAGAGGACTCGAGGCTGCTGGTCATCTATTTTCAGGTTTTTTTTCTTTGTCATCTATTTTCAGGGTTTTCGGTGTCAGCTTTACAAAGGTTGCCTGAGATTTTGCGCACCAATTGACTTATAAAATAAATTTTTTTTTATTACGTTGGTTTCTGGGAAAAGATGTGTGCTATTTATCCATCTAAAATGATCTGCAATATTCTCGTGGCAAGACGGGCGGCAAATAAATTTAACAAATAATAATCTGCAATATTCTAATGATTTCCACAGTAGCTGGTTCGTGGGAATCTCAATGTTTTGTTTTGTTTTTTATCCCCCAGGTATCCATTCTGTAAAGCAGGGTAGTGGAGAAATATGCAACAGACTTAAAGCCCCTAGAGGCCTTATTCCAATTCTGCTACAGCCAGGATACAAGCAAGCAGCTCACAGTGCTGAGAATCCTGAATTCTGACCCTCCTCTCAAAAGTGAGCCAAGCCATTGTTTTTGGACTGTACCATTTACCTTCTGGGGAGGGAATGAAGCACTGGAATGCTGGCTAAGCTAATGGACTACAAACAGACACAGAGCCCCCTTCCAAGTGCCAGACAGATAACACTCTTTTGCCATGCTGCTATGATTTGAAGTTGAAATTTTCCTCTTTCGTTCTGGCCTCTAAAACATGAATGTGTTTTTAAATGTGGTTAACAGTTGACTTCCCACAGTTTTGTTTTTATTTATGTACTGACAAGTTATAAAATTATACCATTCTATTTTAACACAGGTTTTTTTTTTAATGATCTGTACACACATGGAATGAAATAAGATTCCCAGAGGAGTGAATAAAACCTGGGGGACCAAGAGACTTCAAAAACCCACCCAAAATTATGAAATGAGCAGCTCGAACTTTGGCTGAAGGGGGTATTTTACTCACAAAAGGGAGCCTCTTCCATGCACTTCTATTCACCTGAAAAACAATCTTAGACAAACAAACAGTGTAGACACTCTACAAGTTTACTTACCACAAGCAGCTTTTCATACTGCGCCTGCATGGGCACTGTATTAGAAGATGCACACCATCACACTGCAGAGCCCAATTCCTATATCAGCATGCTTGAAAAGGACTTAAATATCTCTTGCAAGCCTAATGTTTAGTTTCTGCAGATGTCACCCTCACCTGCAGATGTCAGAGGTCGGAGGAAGATACTAGGGGTTGTGCTTTTCAAGGTAGTCCTGGACTGTATCCTCCCACCAAGCCCTCATGCAATCTTGAAAGCAACACCAGTTTGAACCCCCAAGTATCAGGCACAACATCCGACAAGACGTTATCAGATTCATGCCCAGATTCTCCTTATAAAAAGCACAATGAAAGAGGTATGTGTTGTAGGAGCATTTGCCTAATTCCACACCACTCATGTTCATTCTTGATTCAGGTCAGCTTCGGTTGTTTTTTTGTCTCTAGTTTGAACAAATTGGTTGAGTTGGGGAGGCTACAAACATTAAAAACTTAATTAAATAAATCTTTGCCGTTACATACATTCAGGTTTGATTTCATGTTTTTTGCATCAAGGCATTGCTACTAAAACAAAAGGCATCAACTTCTCTCTGCTTCACCCACCTTTAAAACAGAGGAATGGGACTCTGCCTTCTCCCGCAACAGGGAGCTACAGAGAGGTGGATGCGTAACAAAACAGAGATAAGCTATTGCTTAAACAGTACGTCCACGTTTCCCACAGGATTTCAAAAACAGCAGAGGTACCCGTTTTCAGGTCAACTGGAAGAACGCAAGAGGCTGCATGACTTTTACCGAACGTTATCATCGGTGTCTTACTAAAGACAGGAAAGGAGGCCTGGTTTTCCAAGTGAATCACTCAAGACCCACACCAATTACAAAACATCTCAATTGGTGCCTCTTGGGCTGAAGGTGGTCTGGGGGCCAAGACTATATGTCTTCCCGGAATATTCAAAACATTCAGTTGTTGGCCTGTGGGGGTAAGAATGATCTATATACTTTTCTTTCCCACCCACGCCCAAGTGCAGATTTGTGTGTGGTTCTGCAGCTGGTACACGCCAACCCCCGCTATCTGGTGCAGCCCACCGCTTAAATCTCCTCAGGTAGGTCTTGAAGATGTTGCTCCACGGAGGGCCTCTTCAGCTTCCATTCGCTGCTTTCAGGCACAACGGAAGCCGCCACAGCAGTCGGGATCTGATTCCTGGTCTCTTAATACTGGATATACGATACACCAGCATGGAGAACCTCCTTTTACTTGAGGGGAAGGAAGAGGTGAAAGTTTTCTAGTGACTTATTCAGCCAGCTTAAGAAAATGATAAAAAAAACAGAACATATTATATATAGTAATAACATTCAGCATTTGGCTAAGAAAAGGCTCAAAGAAGCCTCAAATAATTTGAGCATTCCTGAAAAATGTAATGGAGCAACTCATCCATTCCCTTTGCTCCCAAGTGCGCTTGTTTAGGTAAGAATTTAACCCCGATTCTTTTTAATTCCATAAAACACTGTGTTTTTAATAATTTCATATCAATCTTTGCATTCTGCCTGTAGTGCTCCAAGGCGCGTTGGAACTTTTAAAGAATTAAGCAGTAAAGTCAATATTGTCTTATAAATTTCAAGTGAGAAATTTGCTGTCTCTGGAAACCGCTGATTTGCTGTCCTTGAACACAGACGTTCAAGGAGCCTCATTATTGTTAGATGTAGTACAGTTTCCTGTATCTCTGAATATTCAAGCTAAACCTTGAGAACTTTCCTACTGATCTAGTCACTGTTAAGTTCCAATTATAAAGGTAACTGTATAATAGCACTCTGATGTCACCACTGATTCTCTAATACAAATTAACAAAGGCAACTCAACTGTCTCTAAACTATTTTCAGAAACAAAAGTTAAGTTATTCTTAGGTTTTATGCACAGATTATTGTATTTATTCCTAAATGCTACATAACTCAGAGCAACTATAAGCATGTCCTAAGGTAAGATACATTTAGTCCCTAGAGTATTTTCTGTCAGGGAATAATATCTTATTATCCTAAATATTATCCTTACTATCCTATCCCAGCTCCATCTTAGAATATGCTAGAGCCCCTGGTAGCGCAGTGGATAGAATGCTGTATTGCAGGCTGACTCTGCCCACTGCCAGGAGTTTGATCCTGACCAACTGAAGGGTGACTCAGCCTTCCATCCTTCCGAGGTCGGTAAAATGAGGAGCCAGATTGTTGGGAGTGATATGCTGACTCTGTAAACTGCTTAGAGAGAGCTGTAAACACTATGAAGCAGTATATAAGTCTAAGTGCTATTGCTATCTTATAAACCCTCCATATCGGACATTTTGATATGCAAAACCATAGCAGAGAGCAAGGTACTGTTTGTGATGATAAAAGATCAGAATTTTTACTGCTTGCTTCTCCAATGAAAACAGACTTAATCTGGATTAGCACAATGATTTCTTTAAAATATTTTTTTTTGCCTTGTGAAGGGTTTATTTCCTACTCTTAATTGTGTACCTCTGTTTTACTTTGATTTATCTAGCTACTTATAGCCTCCTTTAGGTTTTTTTTTACAAAAAGAAAAACAGCTTTTCAATTATTTTAAAGCAGTGGTTCTCAGCCTTTTTAATGCCACGACCCCAACTGGTTGTAAGTTGAGGACTAAACCGGCCGTAAGTCGAGGACTAAACCAGTCGTAAGTCGAGGACTACCCAACCGGTCGTAAGTCGAGGACTTTCCCTGCCCGGGAGCGCCGCGCATGCGTGGTTCCGCCCCCTGCGCCGGCCGAGGCGTAGCTGGCAAGCGGCAGAGACGGAGCAGGCCTACCACCAGCTGGCCCAGCCCAAGGGAGGTAAGGCACCTGCCGGAAAAGGGGAAAAAAATGGCGGACAAAAAAAATGGCGGACAGCCTTGCTTGGCGACCCCCGTGAAATGGTCGATCGACCCCAAATGGGGTCCCGACCCACAGGTTGAGAACCACTGTTTTAAAGCATTCACTGCAATTTTTTCTTTCTTTTACATATCTGCCCTTCTGACTTTTTTTTTACTCTAGGCAGCTACTGATTCTTGATTCTGGTCATACTATGGATTCCCCCTTTCTCTGTGGCTGAGAAAAAGAGATGTGAAATGAGATTAAACGTTCCGGACAGCCAGAATCAAAGTAATGAGAACAGTAGAATGTAGGATATTTTCCCTTTTTCTCCCCAGTGGGTGGCACAAGTCTTATCCTTGGGATATACTGGCTGGATTTTCAATTAAAGCTTATTAGCATGTTATGATTTCGTCCATTATTTGGATTCTCAAAACCATCATTTTTGTGACTACATTTATCCCAAGGCCATGTCGAAGGCTAAGAAGCAATGCACCTTCAGAATGATACAATAAATAAAACAACACCCTATTTCATTCACTAGTGAAGAATAAAGAGCAGCCCCTGAAATACTAATACAAAATAAAAGATACCATTACAGCAGGGACAAGTTGTGACTTGTCTTTGCTTTTACAGTGCAGCTGTGCTAGTATTTGGGAATTCCATTCCCTAATCTAATCAGCATATTCATTTGTTTGACATAAATTCCAGAACTGTGGAATAGCTTGGCAGTTGGTTTTAGATATAAGGAACTTATATTCAAGGTTCAAATTAAGTAAAGGATTCACTGCCTCTTGTATCATTGTAAAGGATATTATGAAATACTAACTTAACCTCAAATCGTAAATGTTATCTAATTTCGTAACTTTCTTAATGACTTATTATTAGGCAATCCTTTCAAGCTAAGTTTAAGATAGAATTTAGTGTGCCAGGCCTAATAACATGTTGATGCACTACTGTGCTGAAACTATTCTGCCTTCTCTTCCAAGAGCATTACTGACTTTCCTTGATCTACTAGGGAAAAAAAATATGGTGCTTTTCCTCTCTAAGAACTGACCACTGGAGTTATCTGTTAATTCTTCTCATTTGCACCTCTGTCAAGAACAATATTTGATGGTCAGAAGTACCACTAGGTGTTTTCTTGAAGCCACTAACCAAAAATCTGGAACCATCAAACTGTGTAATTTTTTTTAGAATTAAGCATTAGGTTGCCTGAGATTTAGCTCAGCTAGATAATACATTTCAAAGATGTAACATCTAATTAAGATTAAAGTCTTTTCCCCCTTCTCAAAATAAAAATCACAACAACCCTGAAGTCCAGATATTATCGTGGAGATCTTCCCAACACTCTGAGGACATTAGTGTCCGGTTTAGGTACCAAAGGCACACATTTTAAGTTATTTTACATATTTGTGAACAATAAACAGGGATACAAATGCAACTGGAGCCAGGTTATTCTGTTATTCAACTATGGTGACATAGCCTTAACACCAAATGCTGCTGAACATGCCTTTTTCTACAATATTGGTGTCTCTTTCAAAGGCTGAATGACATATAAATATAAAAATAAAGACTGCTTTGTGTGCCTAGGAGATCCAATCTTACTTCATTAGATAACAGTCACCTGAACTTCTGTATATGGTTAATTCATACTGTACTCACTATATTAACCATTAATTACTATTTACAAATATTGCTTAACTCGCCTACCCTAGGAGAAAGAAGTAACTCTTTCTTGGACAACCTCAATCATCGCAGGATAACGGAGCTAATTTAATGTATGTATGTATGTTTATGACAGACATAAAGAACTTCAAGACAGCAATTAACTTACCTTCAAAGTCAAGCCAAAATGCCTTAAAATGGTGGAAGTTCTTCACTAAACATAAACTGAATTGAATGCATTCATTTCTGTGTCCATCAGCGACCGTAAAAACATGACCAAGCTACAGATCTCCTTTTAACTTTAGAAAGTTTAGAAAGTCTTTTTAGAAAAAGGCTCCAATTTTGTTATTATCCTACTTACAAGAATACTTATTATGAAAAATATAATTGTTAGTACCCGAACTGCCCAGCAAGTATACAGAGTAGCAGGAAGGAAACCCATGTATGCTGAAAAACTAGCGCTACTTTCAGGCTGCTGCTGTAACAAATTTACTAATATGCATACAGAAGGGATCAATTCCTTTTGGAAATGTTCAACTGGTCGTCTCAATTAATGAAAAGACGGAGGAAAAGCTATTTGAGGTTGGACTGGAAGACTTCCAAGGTCCCTTCCAACCCTATGATTCTATGACACTCCTAGAAAATGTCATAGGAATTTAAAATAAAGAGTTCAAGATTCACAAGCCTTAGGAACAAAATATTTCTTCTTATGACCATCAAGCAAGAACTGTAAACATAGAGGACTACACCCCTCATGTGAAGGGGAACAGGAAGATGTTCTGGATAGTTTCTCCTCAAGCCTAGGAGCTCGACTGCTCCGGGGGGGGTGTGTGTCACCAAAGTCATCTTCCAATGGTTATAAAGATGTAGCCAAACTCAGCCATCAGAGGTTATGGAAAAAATGAAGTCAATTCTTTTGCATGCCCGGAACCCTATCAAGGTTCACATTGATTTAAATAATACATCAGAAATGAAAAATGCAAAATCCAGACTGCAACATATTTAAACAGAAGGGTAAAAAGTTCTTAAAAGAATGGTTTTACATTATCAAGCATCCATTTACTTACCTTCATAAGCTACCAAGATGTTAAAGATATTCTGTATACTTATATATAAGATGAGAATTCTCAGTCTACTTTCCTGTTTTGAAGAGAACTTCTATAGCACATAGCTTTCATGTTTTTTAAAAAAAGCAAAACACAAAAAGAAGCATCTGGATTTATGCTGGGCTTCTGGAATCACTTCAGGAGATTCATTTTCTTGGTAGGAGTTTTTTTCCTCAAAACTGATTAAAAGGTGGTGTTTGTGTAAAGAGGTAAATTAGTGGTTCAAATCCCTTAAAAGCTTACAAATTCTGACATTTCCAAGTCAAAATGCAAAGGACTAACAAGGGGCCAATCTCAACCGTAGATACAATTACTCTGTACATTACATAATAATCTTAATATTGTAAATGATTTTACCTACCTTCTGTTAAGACTATAGTTACCATCTATGGAGCACATAAAGAAAACTATGCCTGCTTTTGCAGATTAAATTCCAATTACATACAACTAAACGAGAACACCCGAGTTGCTATTAACACTATGCAAGGAATTTTCCCTGTGAAATATGTGTGTCAATCTTTGAAGATAGAGCAAGGGAGCCATTAAAATCCCTTTCCGTTTTTTGTTTTGCTGGCCCCAAAATTGAAAAATGTATTGATAGGAAGAATAAACGACTGCAGAAGAATATCCCTGGAAAATACATACATTTGAATAACAGTGCTGGTGAAATGGCAGGAGTCTGTTCTGGCTTTACTGCATTATAATTATGATCGCTGGCCCAGGATGGCGTGCTGCTCTCTGGGGTTGGCTCTTTAGCAACTGTCTGAGCGTTCGCTTCTGTCTTAATAATGGCCACTGGTGTTTTCTTCACGATCATCTCTCTCTTCTCAGCCACTGGCCTCTTCTGCATGGACAAAGGTTTGGTACCCGCCTGTATAACCAGCAGAACCCCCTAATCACTATATGTTGCAATGATAAAATCATCATGATACAGGAAGAGGGCAAATCATTTTAGATATACTGGAAATATTGTTATACAAAAAGATACACTATACTTTTTCAAGCAGAAATCACATCCCAGACACAAACTCTCATTCGGCACATATCCTTAACATATTTCCTGCTGATAAGTGTTTGTTTGACTTTCTAGCAGACTAATCCAAATATTGCACACTTATCCAAAAATCTTTACCTACCAACTTGGAATCACTTCTAACACACATTAATTACCCTTAAATGAAGACAAAAACATTTCACTAAGTATTTGGCTTAGCGAAACCGTTGATGCTGCTACTCTGATAGCAATCAAGATCTAATTATACCTTCAATTATGAAGAAAAATGTGAAGCTTGACCAAAATCTTCAATAATACAATAAACATAAGAATTGCCCCATTCAGGAATATGCTGAAAAATTTAAAATTCACTATACAGTTGTTGTAAAAACAAACTTAATTCAAAAAATCTGGCCGGGGGGAGGGGGGAATACATATAAGAATGGCTTGGTGCTGGGGTTTTTTCCTACCATTTGATGTATTAAAAATATTTGTATTCATGAATCTGTTAATCAGCTGCTCTGAAAACTTGTTAAAAACAGAGTAAGAAGAAATATAAAGGAACACCTGTAATGATTGAGATAATGTACAGTATATTATTTTTGTTGCGAAACTATTAACGTTGTTAAATATGTTATATCCAAATGAAGAGGAAATACTGGACAATGATTCTTTATGATCAAAAACTCCATGATAAAATTGAAAAATGTTTAACAAAATATATATATATGGGCCGACAGGGTGCACCAAACTCAAGATAATATATGTATGTATGTATGTATGTATGTATGTATGTATGTATGTATGTATGTCAATGATAACACTAAAAATACGATCCCTGGGTATATTCATATTCAAAACAAGCAAATAAACGTGAACACCAGGGAAAATCTTAAACTACAAAAGTTTAATACAATCACCAAGCTTTCGTCGGCAAACTGCCGACATCGTCAGGGCTTAAAATGCTAGTTAATAGGAGAGTCCTTTTATAGGCTGATCAAGGTCTTGAATTAAACATAAAGTAGATCAGATTTTATTTACTTGTATTTTTGTTATTTATACTCGTTATTTTCTAAAAAAAATTCTTTTGTGCCTTTTCTTCTAAGCAGTATGATATAGGATTTTTTTCCTTTTAAGAAATACATTATATTTTTATACAATAGTACAATAATGTATTCATATTGCTCCTTAGGTTGTATCCAATACTGGGTTACAAATGAATATTTTTATTCATGTTTACTTTAAAATGAAAGTTTTAGAAAGTAATACTGCATTATAAATGCATTTATAATGTTCATTATTAATTTATTTGATGTTAATATTTATATAATATTGAAAAATGCATTTCATTTGTATTTTTATATATTAATACTCTCCTTTTTTAAAAATACAACTATACATGATAGAATTCCACACAAGACTGGCTGGGGAATTCTGGGAGTTGAAGCCCACACATCTTAATATTGCCAAGGTTGAGAAACACTGCACTAAAGCTTAATTCAGTTGTCCTGGCTGGGGAATTCTGGTTGTTTAAATCCACATCTTAAAGTTGCCACAGTTGAGAAAAACTAAGCTAGCTATTTCAATGCAACAGCAGGATGAACATCCCTTACAGAATTGCCTGGATCATCAAAAGTATGGCTAGTGTTACATAGCTATGTAATCGATCATGAAATTATATTGGAATATGAAACTGTTATGTCAGAGAAGAGTTGGAAGCATTCTGGAATAATTATGCAGGTTTCAGAGGGCTTTTAAACAGGGCACTAAATACTCAAAGTCATAGTAAGTGCATTTTCCAGGAAAAAAAATATTTTTATACTTTTTCTCTTTGAATGTGGTAACCTTTAAAAGACAAATGATCTTTCTGTGACCTAACACTCTTTTTTCTGTGTTTGTAGTCTTTCTCACACTAATGGTTTTACAATAGTAGAAACCAAGAAAAGAGTGAGGTATCCAGGATTACATGAATACAGGAAGCACTGTGTTTAAGTGCATACTAAACGGCAAAAGTAATTTGCACAGAGGTTGGGTAAATAATAAAAAATATTTTGCCATACAGGGGCATTTGTCTTCTGAAATCAAACAATCACCAAGAGACTGCAAGTAGTCCTTGACTTATGACCATAATTGGGACCAGGGTATCTGTTGATAAGCAGGGCAGTTGTTAAGTGACTTGTGCTTTATTTTATGACCTTTTTTGCTCGTTAACTGAGCATAACTGCAGTTTTTAAGTGAATCCCAGGATCGTTAAGCGATCTAGCTGTCCCCAAATGACTGTCAGAAGCCAGCTGGGAAGGTTGCATATGATGATCACATGAACCCGTTGATGCTGTAACGGTCATAAATATATGCCGATTGGAAAGGATCCAGATTTGGATCATTTTACTTTTGAGGACTCTGGGATGGCCATCAGCGTGAAGGTTGGCTGCAAGTTACTTTCTTCGGTGTCACTGCAACTTTTAACAGTCTCTAAATGAATGGTGGTAATTCAAGGACTACTTTTATGTGATTTAAGGCAAATCCAGACTTACCATAGTCTGAGGTTTTATCAGAGCAGGCTTGGGTCTGGTTTTCTCTTTGGGTTTTTGTTCTTTGCCCTCACTGAGGAATTTCATGGTCGCAGCAGCATGCTTAAGGATGCACTCGTTCCCACAGTATACTGAACCTGGCTGAGCCACCTTAGAGCATCCTGGGCCAATGCAATTGGCTGCTTCGGGATCTTCAACCACCTGAAACGTAGCATACAGAAAATAGTTTACGGCCATAATACTGTACGTGTTTACAATAGATTTTACTTAGCTATCTAACAATGCAGAATTTAATTAGCTTACTGATACTTTTATATATAGCCCTCTGAAAATGAAGGTGTCAGCTGTTTGGTTTCCTTCCAAATGGGTCAATTTCTATCTTTATTAAAGGTGTTTGCAAGCAATTATAGGCATGTCTGTCATTGTCAATGTCTGGCTTCTAGCATGCAATAATTGTAAGAAATAAAATACAGTTTTCCATTGCTGTTTTCCCCATCAAATTCTACTTCTTGTCCTTTCCTAGGGTAATACATTATGCTAAGCGATAACATAAGTCGTAACAGGACGAGAAACAATGGTTGGAAACTGATCAAAGAGAGAAGCAACTTGGAATTAAGGAGGAGCTTCCTGACAGTGAGGACAATCAACCAGTGGAACAGCTTGCCTCCAGAAATTGTGGGCGCTCTTATCACTGGAGGTTTTTAAGAAGAGGCTAGACAGTCACTTGTCTGAGATGGTATAGGTCAGTGATGGCAAACCTTTTAGAGACCGATTGCCCAAAAACTGGCCCCGCCCCTGCTCCACCTCCCCGCTGTCCCCCCATGCCTGCCCACAGGACCACTCACCGCCTCCAGGGCCCAGGTAGCCCAGCAGCGCTATGGCCGCATCCTGCAGCATCAACTGCATGATGGGGTGTGAGGGCAGTCTTGTCTACGCTGCCTGGCTGCCATGTCCTTGGCTGCGCTGCTCCATGTGGGCCACGCTCGAGGGGGGCTGCTGGAGAGGAGGGGGTTGTGGGGGGAGGCAAGGCTGGGGCAACAGCATGTGTGCCCACAGAGAAGGCTCCGAGTGCCGCCTCTGGCACCCGTGCCATAGGTTCGCCACCACTGGTATAGGTCCTCCTGCTCTAGCAGGGGGCTGGACTAGAAGACCTCCAAGGTCCCTTCCAGCTCTATTCTATTCTATGCTAACATGGTGGAATGATTTGTCTCAGCAAAGAACTATGACAAAATAACAATCTATGGGACTGGAGGCCTGTATCATAAAGACCTTTTTCCATGTAGATTTTACATTATTATTTTCATTGTATTACCTTTAAAAAGGATAATGGGTTATTGATTTTCAGCAATTGCGTTCAAGAGGGGCTTAGAACCTTGGGTTGTGTATGATGAAAACATAATTAAATTAACAGAACAAGTAACTGAACTCCTAACAGGATACAAAGGTAAACGTGAGCTAGGAATTATTTCCCACAATGGAAAAATGGCCGGAAAAAGTAATGGAACTTGCTGAGATGGCCAAATTAACTGCTTCAATCAAAGAAAATAATGCATCCAATTTTCTTTCTACTAGGGAACAGTTTCTAGATTTTTGTGCAATAACTGAATCTCTGACTTTTGGATTTACTGATTAGAAAGATTTGTTGTTAGAGAAATAGCTAGCATATATTAAGGATGCAAAAGTAAAAAGTTGAGGCTGTATAATGTTACCACTTTTATTCTACTGCAGTTAATAGGAGTTGAAAGCTAATGCCTTTTTTTCTTTTCTCTCCTTCCCTAACTTCCCACTTTCTTATTTTTACTCGAATTTTATATTTTTGGTAAGTTTAATAATAATTATACTACAAAAGGTCTTATTTTACAAGACGTGTCTTGCTCTTTTCTAGGGTGTCAGAACTTGAACATTTTATATGACATTAACACACACACATATACTTGGCAGGTAACTCAGAATGTTTCCACCAGAAATTTATCAATAATTCAGTAAAATTAAATTGAGTAATTTGAACACTCACAGGCTGAAATATTTTGAGTTTTTTCTTTCCACTTGGATTTGCAGCTTTCTCAATACGACCCTTGATGCCTTGATCCTCAATGGACTTTTGTTCAATAGTTCCTATGCTTGTGAACTCTGTGCCATCACCTGTTACCTGTCCCAGCAGAGTTTCCTGTCGATCTGTTTCCATAACTATTTCATCTTGCACTTGCAAAATGGTGCAGTTTGGGCAGATATAGTCTTCTCCATTTCTTTCCAGTAGGCGCCCACGGGCCTCTGAAATACCTACACAATTCCCGTGAAACCATTCCTCGCATCTATCACAACAAATCATAAACCTTTAAAAAAAACATTAACAAAATATCAGTAACATGTATCAAGCAGATTTGTTAAATTATATGTAGCATGCCCTGTTGTACATATCTTATGAAGTTAAATTAATTTAACCAACAAGTCATAGGGAAAAAAAATATTCCCAAAAGAGTACAACGTCTTTGTTTTTTCTTTACAGAATTTTATAGTTTTATCTTAGTAAAAGATGAGATCAAGTTTTGGCTTATATTAGGATCCCATAAGAACAAGTGTCCCTATGGCCTTTATTTCCATTTTTGAAGCTAGCTATTTTCTTCTGCCAGCTTTGGCTATATAGCCCCTTTCTGTATTCAATGTTTTGAGTTTTTATTACGATACAATACAGTCAGTGAGAAATCAAACTGTTTCAGAAATGGCAGTGCAATTTAAAACATGCTATTGTTCTCATACATCTAAATTAATAAGCAGTTGTTTCCATCATCATTTAATTCTCCATTCTCCCCTTTCTATCATCACTATCAATAGCATTTGTTGGTAAAAGCACTAAGATGAAAACGGTGTTTTGATCTTTAATAAAGCATTCATTTAGAGCAGTGTTTCTCAACCTTGGCAACTTTACAATGTGTGGACTTCAACTCCCAGAATTCTCCAGCTAGTGTTGCTAGCTGGAGAATTTTGGGAGTTGAAGTCCACATATTGTAAAGTTGCCAAGGTTGAGAAACACTGATTTAGAGTAAAGTCAAATTTCTCAAATGTTTACTGGACCATATAATGAAACACTTTTGACATTCTTTATAAAGAATACCTGTTGTTGTGAGGCTGTTGACAGATGCAGTAAAGCGTACTGGGGTCGTATACTTCTGCTTCCGATTTGCCCTTTGTGCATTCTTCAAGTTCATCGATGATCTGTGAAGCACATTTTATTTCTTTCTTAATCTGACCTGCTTCACTGGTTTCCTTGGAGACAGACCCTTGTTCCCCAGCCTCAGCATTATCTGTAGTTCCTGGTTCTTGCTTTACAGTCATTTCATGCTTAATTTGGCTGCTGGTCTGGACATCCGCTGCCTCAGCAGGAATTTGTTCCTGATGTTTCTTCCTGAGTTGATTCTGTATCTCTTTCAGCGTCAGCTCCGAGGGTTTCTCTTCAACCTGTTTCTTTCTCAGACGGTTCTGCAACTCTTTCAAAGTTAACCCATCGCTATCGCTGTCAGAGGTATCTTCCTCATCGTCTTCCTCATCGTGCTCTTTCGCGCTTCTACCTTTTCGAGTCGGCTGGCCTTTGCTGTCGTTAGAACGGTTCTTTTGAGGGACGTTCTTTATATCGGGCATGCTATCTACACTGCCTTCAGAAGCACTTTCGACATCGGTCACATGGCAAGAAGCGGGCTCATTGAAGTCCTCAAGAGCGGCGGGAAGATTCTTCCGCCCTCTGCGCCTCACGGTTGTGAGAAATTCTTCCACCCGTTCAGTACGCTTGGGCTGTCGTCCACTACGGCGAGGAGCCAGGTTTTGCTGCTGAGGAGAGGCTTGTTCAGCAATGTCCATCTCGGCATCCCCTAAGCCTTCTCGCTTTGCAATGGTAGTTCTACGAAACCCCCAGGTTTTCCTGAACTCCTTGCTAGTGGGCTTCACGGTTTTTGGTTCATCCTCATTGCTTTGTTCATCTTTGTCGTCCGCAGCTAATAAAGGGAAAGAATGATGTCTTTTACAAATAGAGTATCACTTCCAGAAGCAACAGCACATTGGGAGAAATATGGAATACTGCGAGTATTCTCTGTCAAAATGCTTTTAAGGGCATAATATATACAGCCTCGCTTCGCTTGTAGTGTATGAAGCTAAATATACCTTCTTATCCTATTATTAGAAATACATCCTCGACTTACAAAACAGTTCATTCAGTGACCGTTCAAAGTTACAACGGCACTGAAAAAAGTGACCATTTTTCACACTTATGACTGTTGCAGCATCCCCATTTGCACTCGGATGCTTGACAACTGGTTCATATTTATGACGGTTGCAGTATCCCGGGGGTCATGTGATCACCTTTTGCAACCTTCTGACAAGCAAAGTCCATGGGGAAAGCCAGATTCGCTTAACAACTGCAGTGATGCCCTTAACAAATGTGGCAAGTCGTAAAATGGGGCAAAACTCACCTGACCAATTTCTCACTTAGCAACATAAATTCTGAGCTCAACTGTGGTCATAGTTCGAGGACTACCTGTACCTCTTTGAAAAATTCAGCTACCTGATGACCCCATTCTAATGCCTTTATAAAGGACAGAAATTGATTATTGCCAAGGGGGGGGGGCTACTCTGATTCTTGATGCCTGTGTACACAACCTGAAGCCGCATCATCCTTATCAGCAAGGAAAGTGCAGTCACATTACCACGGTCATAGTCAGCATATGATTACAGCAGTTGACTGTCCTGGCAATAATGATCAAGAAAATAGGAAGGGAGAATGCCTGATGCTGTTGTATGACTGAGTAAAAGTCAGCTTCTGAATTATAAATTCAGAGGTAGAGCTAAACTCGTGTGTTCCCCTAGAACAGGGATAGGCAACCTTGGCTCTTTTATGACTTGTGGACTTCAACTCCCAGAATTCCTGAGCCAGCCATGCTGAGGGGAAAGGGAGAGGTTTCCAAGCTGAGCCAGGCTGGCTCAGGAATTCTGGGAGTTGAAGTCCACGAGTCATAAACTAGCCAAGGTTGCCTACCCCTGGCCTAGAAAGAATAGGTACTCCAAACTACTAGAATCCAACCCCTTGAGTTCATCAAAAGCTGCCAATGCAGTGATGCAATTTTGGCACTCGCAGCCTAAGCAAAAGAGTGGGAATGACGCTTAGCTCCTATTAAATGTTCTGCCCTAAATAAAATAATTTACCAAGAGAAGAATTTTCCATGTTAGACTGAGATTCCAGTGTCACAGATTCCAAATTATCTTCTTCCATAGTACTGATATTACTGTTCCAAAAATTCACCTCTGAAAACAGATAAAAAGTAATGATCAGCATATGTGTATGTTTGTGTGTGAGCACATGCCTTCAATTCATGGGTGACTCCTGGCAACTGCCTGGAGAAGTCCCTGTAGTTTTATTGGCAAGATTTCAGATGTGGTTTGACACCGCCTCCTTGCTAGGCCTGACTGGCCCAACATCATCCAGCCGACATAAATGTGATTCTGATATAGCCTCACTTATTAAATTTCATTTTAAACAGCAAATTAACTATGCAAGCATTTTAGTATCTGTTTCATCATGTCTATTAGAAAGATCCTAATTCTTAAATAATTGGTCTATTATTAGAGCTTTTTGAATGCACTGTTATCAAATGTTCTGAAATATTTACAGCTTGTCTTTCAAAACAAGACCTGTATGAACAGGAGATAGGTTACAGTAAGTATACTGTGAAGGAAACACACATAACAGAAACATATTCTTAGTAAAACAAAGTCTTACATCTGCATTCTCTCTCCTCTCACAAAATTATCATAAATACTGAAGATAATTTAAACATAACTTGATAACTTGCGGTTTCTGGACATCTCCACCCTCTCAAAGGTTCAGGCTTCACTGTTAATTTTCTAGTAAATATTTAGCAATGTATTTCCTTACGTTACTATCATTTCTGCTTTACCTGATATGGGCATAATAATTGCTCCTAGCAGAAGAAAGAAAAATCTCCAAAATCATGATACCATCCAATCAGATTTCAGATTCTTTTCTACTTGTGACCCAGTTGTTTTCTGTCCCCTTATCTTCAGAATACAAGGGATTGGCAACCTATGGTCTGCGTGATGAATGTGGTCTGTCACCCATGATTATCTGACTCACATAGTTGCAAAAAGAAATATATTCCTCTGGCCTGCGAGGGAAGGAAAGAGTGCCACCACCTCTTCACGTGACTTGTTGTGATTCCTCGCCAACCAGTGGACCCGGCAGCTGAGTCTGAGGAATCAGAGGAGAAGGAGGAGCCTGGAGTGACGTCAGAGGAAGGCTCTAAGGAGCTCCAAGACTTACAGTCTGACGAGGAGCCTGGCCCCTCTTCTCCCGCTCAGGCTGTGCTGGGAGTCTGAGTTGGACAGTGATGAATCACAGCTGGGAGATATCCAGGATGCAGGAAAAACCGGCAAGAAAAGAGAGTAGGACAGAGGAATGCAATGGGGCGGCTCCAAAGGCAAAGGAGAAGGCATTAGGAAGCCACGCCTTGGCTGCATAATAAAAGGGAAGGTGTGGGAGGTGCTGGTTGTCAAAGGCAACAGAGAGTTTCTGTGAACTGTGTTTGTGTGCCTTGGACATTGACTCAGGTCTGTGAATAATAAAAGGGGATTGTTTTTTTCCTGCAGTTCCAGCCTGCTTGTTGGAAGAGGGGTTTCTCCTTGTAAGTTTAACAAGGACTTACGTAGGCTGGGACAGAACATGACTATTTTGGTAACAGCTTCATCTTGGCACAGGCAGAGCAATAAGCAATGTCCCCTGGAAATAGTGGTGGTAGCATGGTTTCTGGCCTACAGACAAGAAGATAACCGATCCCTGCAGTACACTTTGCATCGTTGAACTCTAGTCTTTTATCTTGGGATCAAGTCATAATGAAAGATATGACTGCCTTTGGAAGCAGATGGAAATCATTATGCTAATGGTAGTTTGACAATATCACAGTGCCTGATCTGGCATTAGCAGATCTAGGGTAGTCCTACCCAAGATCTTGGAAAATGATTTCTGCCCTATAATGCAGTGTAAGTTTGATAGCTTTTCATGCTGGAAGCACTGAATACTGGGACCAGAATGGCACCTCATGTATCTTGCTCATGATACGAGTTCACATACAACTTTTCTACAGCTTCCCACTTGACAAATGCTAGGTTTTACCAATGCTCTCTCAGAAAACAGCTTTTCTCCTTTCAACTTATAACATTGCTATCACATAAACAGAGCAGCATGCCACCCTTTCTCTCCCAATATGTCAATCATTTGTCCTCGGGTAGCCCTCAGTGAAATTTAAAATCTCCAATTTGGTTTAATGTCACACTACAATTTCTGAAGAAAAAAGAAGGGTGTGGTACAGTATTATCACAACATGCAATTGACATTTTAATGAAAGGGTTTACCTTTGAAGGTGAGAAGAAAGGTTAACAGTACAGACGAATCCCCGTCTCCACATTAAGCAAGAGAAACAGAAGAGTCTTCACTATCCTCTAAATGCTTTTTACCTGACACAGCATTAGAGGTTGCTGGAATTAGTTCTTCCTGTCCACTTAAGCCAAGGGAGGAATCACAGGAGGGCAGAAGTAAATCAGAGTCATTCAGCATAATCCCAACAACAGATGCTATTCTGGAGAAGCCAGAAGAGTAATGGTCATCTGGATGCCATCCTGAAGACTCTGAAACCAGCAATGCTCCACTCGATACAGCTGCCTGTTACAGGAAAATTTATTTATAGTTTTCTTCACCTAAATTACCGCTTAAGTTAGAAAACTATTAAAACTTTCATCAATAAGTTTACTAGTTAATTTAAATACATTACAAGCAACAAGGGATCTAATACATATTAAGCATTTTATTAGGCTACAACAGGGGTGTCAAACTGCCGGCCCACTGGCCGGATGCGTCATGCCGAAACCGCGCCCACCCCATTGCCAGCAATGGAAAAAAAAAGCCGTGATACGTCACGAAACGTCACATGACATTGCGAGTTTGACACCCCTGGGCTACAAGAATCACTTTATCCTTTTATCACTAATTTACAGAAAAGCAACCACTAAGACCTCAAATATGTTTTTGGTATTAAAAACAATACTGGCATAATTTATAGAACCAAAGCATACACATAAAATACATGTTCACTCTGTTCAGTAAATAATTCTCAGAATAATCTGTGTTCCCGAGGATTTGTAAGTTCTTTAATTACTGTTGGATTTCTTATTTCTAAACATTTGTTTATATGGCACCAGCTATCTACCTCTCTGCTCCCCCCAGCTATTATTAATGTAAATGTGGTATTTCCCAACTGACAAATCCCAGCCATCACAAAATCAAACATCTGAAAATTCTAACCCATTTCCCTTAAAGGGATAGCACAGGAAACATTTTGCTATTGACTTTTGATATTCCCAGAAAACTAGCCACATTTTAAACAATACCCTGACTTTTGTATCTTGGTACAATGGCTACTGAACAACACCCTTAGTTATTACAATGTTTCCCGTTTATTTGTAATATTTTGTAGTTGCCATCTGGGTGCAATAAATTTTAACATTCTCTAAAATTCGCCCAATTATATTTCACAACTGGCTTATTAGCCAGTAACTCGTAAGGGACATGTGAAATATCTTTTCTCGGTTAAAACAGCCATTTTCCTCTATTCATATAAATTGTTTTCACATTAAAATGTGCTGCATGATGAATAAATCCAGATTAACACTTATGATGGAAGGCTAATCACCGACGGCTATCTAGATATTATGAAGGATAAGTCAATAGAGAAAAGACAGGATGCTCTTGCTAAACCTGAAACAACATTAAGGTACTGGATACCTTCACTAAACTGCCTTGTGGTCCACTGCTTGAAGCAGTAACTACATCCCAGGAATCAGAGGTTGATGTCTGAAGAGATTCTGAGCTTAAAGAGCTTCTTTCCACGATGCCGCTTTGTAATAACCTCTCAATCTCCCTGTTAAGAATCTCCAACTCATCACACATCATGCAATTTTAAAAGATCTGCCAGAAGAAGAGGGAAAAATTGGCTAATCATTTCTTGTTCAATTCACACACACGCGTGCACACACAAACCTTTACTTTGCATTATATACAAGCCAGAAAGAATCAATGGAACTTTAAGGCTATTTATGCTAAGAAACCTACTCGTATTTTACTTACATCCCTACCATGCCTCAGTCTGAATAAAAACAGACATCACATCAAGAGCAGCTAGCAAACACTGACTTCTTTTTTGAAGCAACAAAGAAAAGAATGTTCTCTGCCTTCATCTCTCCCATCAAAACTGGAATGCAAGAAAATAGGCTAAAACACTCCAGCACACAAAAAGCCTCTCCATTTCCCATCTTGTAACTCATTCCTGAAATATGTATTAAAAAAGAAAACAATTGACTCTGCATGGAGTAATGGGAGGCAGATCCCGATTACCCATTCCTTGCAATGTCCCTTCCCCAACAGCTTCTGCTTGTGTTGTTAGAATAGGTCTGTGAAACTCCTTGGAGGATAAGGACTACACCCATGTTTGAATCTAATTAATTCAGGTGGCATGGCAACCTTGTGGATTTCTGTTTTAATTAGTATTGTAAGAAATCACACTTCAGCAACTCTAAAAGTAGATCTGAAAGAAGAGTATTGTTGGCTGCCTTTAAAATAGCAGAATATGGGGAAATTACTCCAGTTGAAGCTAATTAATGTATTGCAAAAATAAATGTAGGTTCGTAAGTATTTCATTCATGTATTTAAATTTGTATCGCTACAGAAATACATGACACAATGCATTAATGCAGTAATGACTGAGCGGCATTGCAGCTTTGAAATGTCGAAGTGATTTCAGCCAATTTTCATTCTGGAATGGATCTGCTTTTGAATTTGTTACACTAGCTGCCAATGCTTTTAAAAAAAGAGCCACTCATACTCTTACTGAACTGTAGTTTATGGCAGACAAACATTTTGATAATGGAACATTTAATATTTAGTTATTTACTTAAATATTTAATATTTTGGGGGACCAGACCGGGGGAGGGGAATCAGCTATATGTACACAGCCAGTATTTTTTGCTGAAGGCTGAGAGAAAATTTGAATGTTTCTTTATTTTTCCTTTCATTATCCTGAGTCTATACTGAATGTTATAGTTTTTATATATCGCCTGTCTCAAAATGGTGGGAAGCCATGGAAGGAATTGCTCTGTATACTCACCCTTGATCTCATAAATGATACTGTTGATATGCCTTATTGAACTGAACCAATCGTATTTGGCCCCAATTTTGCTAATTTAATGATACTAACACAAAAGCTATCCTTTTGTCACATATCATCATAAATCTAATATGCTTCAAATGCTAGAAATTGTGAATTAACTTCAAATATTATTTAATCACTATTATTTATGACTACAAATATTTTTCCTACAATATTTTTAAAACTACTACCAGCATAATATGTTATGAAGGGTAAATACTGCATCTTCAGCTTTAAGAAATCAGGACATGAGTGTCTTATTGGGAACATCTGGAAGGAGACAGCAGACTTGGCTGACCTGCATCCCCCTTTTCTCTTCCATTTTGCAGCTGACAAGCAATAAAACGCTAGGGAGAACGTGATTTCCTTGTGTTTTCTACACAGCCATGGATTAAAACTATACCCCCTTTACTGCAGGGGTCTTCAAACTTGGCCCTTTCATGACTTGTGGACTTCAACTCCCAGAATCCCTCAGCCAGCATGCTTGGCTGAGGAATTCTGGGAATTGAAGTCCACAAGTCATAAAAGGGCCAAATTGGAAGACCCCGGCTTTACTGTATTTCTATTAACAATGTTTTCATTAAATGTAATTTCAAGATAATTATACTTAAATATACTTAAAATCTAAACTGTATTTAGTTAAGCGGAAAGACTGCATATATGGGTAGTCCTCAACTTATAACAGTTCATTTAGTGACCCTTCAAAGTGACACTGAAAAAAGAGATGATGGTTTTCACACTTACAACCATTGCAGCATCTCTATGGTCATATGATCAAAATTCAGACACTTGGCGACTCATGTTTATGACGGTTGCAGTGTCTCAGGGTCATGTGACCCCCTTTTGCGAATTTTTGACAAGCAAAATCAATAGGGGAAGCCAGATTCACTCTACAACCACGTTACTATTAACAACTGTAGTGATTCACTTAACAACTGTGGCAAGAAAGGTTGTAAAATGGGGCAAAACTCACTTAACAACTATCTTGCTTAGCCATAAAAATTTTGGGCTCAATTATGGTGGTAAATCAAGAATTATCTGTACATTAAAAAATGTAACAGCTTTTTTTAGCCAAAAGGGGACCCTCTTTCTTATACTTATTTTACAGCAAAATTATCTCAATTTTGATAATGCTTTCTAACATTGGAGAATAGGGTAAAAGATGATTTTCAAGGCACATTTAAGTCCAAAACCTAAGCTAGGGTGCAATTACGTATTTTTTTAATATGAAAACTATTATTTCTGAAAATAAGACAGCAATATTACACTGTTCAAGGTGAGTATATCATTTATTTATCTACTTATTTATTAGATTTAATAGTGCCTGACTCCAGGAGGACGACTTTTGGTGCCTTATATTATAAAAAGTACTAATAGGTAGAAGAAACCATGCAAATCAAAACAAACACAGTCCAAATACTACTCAAAACATACTGATGGGCTCAACAGCTCCCCTTTGCTAGGCCTGGAAAAAGAGTCAGCTTTTTAAATAGTTCTAGAACATTAAATATTTCCAGGACTATGGATTTCTGGGGTGGTGCTATTCCAAGGAGGGTAGATACTGCAACAGAGACGACAAACTTCCTGAATCTTGATATGTGGCAGTTTATTGGAAGGTGTGCACAGCACACTAATTCTTCCTGATCCCAATGGAAACATCTGGTGTTAAATTATAAATTAAAAAAATCACGATTTCTAGATATGCTAAACTACAAGTACCATAATTGATACATAGAAACAATCCAAGGGAAGGCCACTTGCCGTAAATAATGGACTAATATGAGAGTGATACTAAAAGTTACTTTAATCATAAAAAGAAGTCACTATGATTACACGTTTTCACTAAACCCAGCATCTATAATACTCTACATTTGATTGCAAATACCGTTAGCATGTATTTTATGTTGCCTGCCTATATTATATTAAGCAATGTGTCCTAAGTCTTTCAAAATAATTGTTTTTTTCTGGATTTGCAAATATTAGAATACTTGTCACGTAAACATTTCAACATTATTTCAAAATAAATACTGCAGCTGAAGTGAAATGGGGACTCTGGGGTTCATACAAGGAGAACATAGCGACCGATGAAAAAAAATTGGTTTTCAAATTTCTAAGTGTCTATGAAGAACACAATATGTTAATTCAAACCAGACTGAAGAAGTCAAACAATGCAACTCCCTTTGCATATCTTTTCCTACTTATTCTGGTAGTGCAGTGGCTACAATGCAGCATTGCAGACTAACTCTGCCCACAGTCTGGACGATCCTGATAGGCTCAAGGTTGACTCGGCCTTCCATCCTTCCGAGTCGGTAAAATGAGGACCAGGATTGTTGGGGGCAATATGTTAACATTGTAAACAGCTCAGAGAATGTTGCAAAGCACTATGGGGCAGTATATAAGTGTAAGTCAGTGTTTCTCACCCTTGACAATTTTAAGGCATGTGGACTTCAACTCCCAGAATTCCACAGCCAGCAATGCTGGCTGTGGAATTCTGGGAGTTGAAGTCCACATGCCTTAAAATTGTCAAGGGTGAGAAACACTGGTGTAAGTGCTATTGCTATTGGTGTGCTATTCTTTTCCACAGTAACAATGAATAAACATAGAAAGATCAATGTTTTGGTTAGCCAAAGAGAGGCATGGTTAAAATCCTTTCTTACATTTCTCTCCCCCTCAACATTTTGAAAAAGTTAAGTTTCTCTCCAACTGGGAAAGCAGAAAGAAAATTTGGTAAAGTTTATTCAACAAATGTATAAAGTATGTGGCTATTAAAAATTAATTAATCTGGTTATTGGAATGCATCATGTAGGCAATGAAGGAGGCACCTTAAAAAAAATGGAAGGGATTAAATAGAGACGTACCAAATGCAAAAAAAAAGAATATTTGTTATACCGGGAATTCAAACCAAAAACCTTGCACCAAAAATGAAATTTTGTTAGTTTGGTTACCAAGAGCAATGTAACTGAATGTAATGCCCAAATCCAGAATTAAACAATTAAAAAGTGCAAGATGGCAGCCATATAAGTGGATATGGAGTGATCTAATAAAGAAATAAACAGAATTGAATAAAGTCCTATGATAGTCTAATTTTTAATATTCTCTTAAAAATTGATACAGTACTACAACACCTCTAACAGAAACTACTGCAAGAAGCATGCCTCAAAAACGACAGCATGGAAACATGTTTCCAAACTCATAGATGGGAAGCATTTTTATCAGAAGCAACTAAAATGACAGAGACTTTTCAGATTCCAAATTCTTTCTCATGCACGTGAATTAGAAAAAAGATTTTTTTTACTGCTATTATCTGTACAAATCACACTATCTGGTAAAGAGATGGAGAGTCTGTGGAGTTTGCCCAGGTACTGAGCAGAATCAAGATTGTACCTAAATCTTGCTTCATGGACTGGATTATGCAGATACAACATGCCTCTTTTTCAGCTGGTTAAGAAAGGATGTGGGTTTGGGCAGTAAAAGGTGGTTATATAAATTATCTCTTAACACTAGTTATTCTGAAAGTACATGGTCTGTATAGCATTAAGGCAGTATTTTATCTCTGTACAAAATATTCTTTAAAGCTGGCAAGAACAGGCGACAGTATTAGCGATGCTCCTGGGCACCAATGTAACTAATACAAATACATGCAGAATCAGTTGGATAATATAAACATCTCCACTGTAATTTAGCTCTCTATAATATATTTATATTTAAATATTGAGAAATAAGACAATATAATTGACCAGAAAAAAA